TTTTTTTAATTATAAATAATTATTATTATTAGTAATCACTCAATGTTAATTACCGACTTCAATTTTATTTAAATAATTAATCCAAACCTCCTTTACATGCATTTAGTTTTGTTCCCTGTTTTTTCGATGAATCTAAATTTGTTTTGTCCCTTCTCCTTCGTATTTTTTCACCAAACCAATTTCCCGGCCGAATCTCTCTCTCTCTCTCTCTCTCTCAATCCTCATTTTTTGATAATTCCATTCCTTCCCTCCACATACCGCAGCCAAAGCCAGCGCAAGACATGGGCGTTTTCCATCCCAAAACATTCATCCTCTTCTTCTTCCTCCTCCTCCTCATTCCACCCGCTTTTGCAGATGATAATCAAATAAATTCTCTACCTGGTGTCAATACTTCTTCTTCTTCCTCCCCTCCTCCTCTAAGTATGCCGGAATACTCCCCGTTCAAACCCACCATTGCTATCATTGTGGGTGTCCTCACCACTATGTTTTCGATCATCTTTCTCCTCCTCCTTTATGCCAAGCACTGCCAACGCAACCGTTCCTTGCCAAATTCAAGCGGGCTGGCTCCCGCTCCAAGGAAGAACTCGGGGATCCACCGCGCCGTCATCGAGTCCCTCCCCATTTTCCGCTTCAGCTCCCTTAGAGGTGAGAAGGACGGACTCGAGTGCGCCGTTTGCTTAAACAAATTTGAACCCACGGAGGTGCTCCGACTCCTCCCCAAATGCAAACATGCTTTTCACGTTGAGTGCGTTGATACCTGGCTCGACGCTCATTCTACTTGTCCTCTCTGTAGATACCGGGTCGACCCGGAAGACATTCTCCTAATTGGAGACACCCACGTTCTCCACGAAAACGAGCAGATACCTCCACATTCAGATCCGATTCTGGACCCGGGGCCAAAATCATGGACTCAACCAGTTTCCGGTCGGCATTCGTCTGCCGGGGAAAGAACAACGGCGTTGTTGCAGAAACCGGGTGACCCAGAAGGGGAACCCGGATGTTCTCGCAATCCGGCATCCTACCGGCGGTCCCTGGATAGCTCCACCTCGACAAACATAAACGAAACAGTAAACATCGCACGCTTCGACCGTCCCAGAAAAGACGGCCTCCTCCTAGGCGACGGAGGAAGGAAGAGTACCGCTTCGGACCGAAAACTGGAGCACCGGATCATCGTGTCGGGCGGGACGTCCGCGTTACAGCAAAGATGGAGCGACGTACAGCCGTCAGATCTGCTACATCTACGGTCGGAAATGATCATAAACGAAAGCGAGAGAAGGATGTCGACGAGCACGTCAGTGAGGAAACAGGAGCAGAGAAAGCGGGGGAGAATCGAGGAAGGTGACAGAAGCGTAATAAAGACAAGAAGTGTGTCGGAAATCATGGGGTTGGGCAGGTTTTCGTTTTCGAGCAGTGGGCATCATCATCATCATCGTCATCGAGAAAGAGACGGGGTTTTACCGAGATGGTCGGATGTCGGGTCGGGGCGTACCGCCATTGGTAGTAGTTAGCCAAACTTTACTAGCTTTTCAGACTAGGTAGTAGTTTCTACAGTACAGGATTCAGTTTTCTAAATTAGCAGGATAATTTTTTTAATGTTAGAGGATTAAAGAAAAAAAATGGCAAAATCATATGTTAACCCCTAAACTAATCTTAGATTTGCTAACTCTAGATTTGTTATTGAATACTTAAACTTTAAGTGATGTGTATCACTTTCTAGGCTCCATGATCTAAGTGATTTAGTTTCTAATTCTTTATCAATGGTAAGAATGAAGGTTAAATTGTTCAGATTGTGGAGTCTAGAGGTTTATTTATATCAATAAAAATTTAAGGTTTAATAGTGAATTTAAAATTAGTTTAGGGGGCTTAACATATAATTTTCTTAAAAAGAAAAAACATTAAAAATTTTGGGTGAAAAATATAGCAGCAATTTATTGTGGATGTAATGGGAGAAGGAAATTTATTGTTGGAGACAAGAAAATCCCAGATAGCAACAGCACGTGATTGGTTTATTGGAAGAAGACATGAGAGACAACTGTCATTAGATAGAATAGTGTTTTTTGTTTAGGTTTTATTGTTTATAATTTCAAGGGGTTTGTTGAATTTATTTTAAGGGTGTATGTTAAAAATATATTTATTATATTTTATAAATTTTAATTTTAACACATGTCATATAAATTTTTTAATTAAATAATTAATAAAATTAAAGTTATATTTTAATTTTTTTACATAAATTGACATATGTTATGTGCTCTTATAAAGTTTTTCTAATATGTCAATTTAAAAAATATATATAAATTAATAATAATTTTATTGTTAGTATTAAGTAAATGAATTTAATTAATTAATTAAAAATTAACATTTGTTTTTTTATATAAATTTATAAAATATATATTTATTATATTCTTAAATTATATTATAAAGACACAAATCAAAAAGATATGAAGTATAATAAATCTAACTTAACATGAAGCTAATGACAGAGGATAAAAAAATCCAATTTCAAATTACTAGCTTCTTTCCATGTCGTTTGGTCAATATTATGAATTTTTTTTTATCAAAAGAATATTATACAACTAAAATAATTATACGAAGACAGACTCCCTTACATTAAAAATTGTCTTCCTATTTAATCATATTTATTCTACAATTTGATATAACTCATATTACAAATCAGATGAATATTTATTTTTTAGAGCAGAAGAAAGAATATGAATTCAATGTTCTAAAACATGTAGTACACAAGTCATTTGAGTTGCAAATAACAACTAAAGATACAATCGATTACACTATCTGATCAACTAAAAAGGACAACATCTATTTCACCTTTCCATTTTTATCTCCAACAGTTGAGGGTCTTCAATTTTATTTTCTAGTTATTAATTATAAACATGATAGGAATAATTGAATTGGAGAGTTCATAACATAAAAATAATATTGTCAAGGAAATAACTATAGGGAAGAAGAAAAGAATCAACCAGAAATGAGATTCACTCATCTCTTCTCCTTTGAAGTCTATGGCCTATGCAGATATCTTCCAGCAACCAGGGCAGCTTCTATCACTACTGAAATTTCATTAACAACTTCAGCCGGGTCGCATTTGTTCCCGGGAAAGGTCGGAGCCCCCGATTTTTGGAAATTATCCATACATTTTAAGAGGTTCTGGCTACACTCTTGGCTAAGATAATCATCTGCATAACCAAACCCGGATAAATATGTACATAAGTTTACAATTTTTATAAGATAATAACTTATATATTTTTTAATTTAATATATTTATTAAAAATTTATTATTTTTAAATTTAAATTTAAGATAAAAAATTTTACTTGTAAAAATTAATAACTAGATCAATAATTATTAATAAGTGTGTTGAGTCAACGACCTAAATAGTTTAATAATTATCTTTTTCCGTTGATAATAAAAAGTTTTAAATTTAAATCACATGATATGTAAGTAGAGTTATATAAGAAATATAAGAAATATAAGATTATTGCCCCTTATGATACAATCAAAATAAAAAAAAAATAAATGTATTAATTATTATCTATTTTTATAATTAGTGGGTATTAATTAACTTGATTAAATATTTTATTCGTTGTTTGAAAAAAAAACAAAGAGAAAGGAGAGTAGCATACTGTTCTTGAATTGAACACAGTCATCATGCTTCATACAACATGCATCTAGTCCATCGCAAGGTGCCTCCCCTGGGCATCCGCTGTACAACAGCCCACAATACTTTCCGTATCTCAAAAGTGGAGGAACTGCAGGTTCAACCCGTATTTATAATATAAATTCAATATCACATTAATATATACATTTTGTTTGGGTGATTAAAAAAATTACATTTAAATCTTTTTTGGTGTGAAAATTTTTTTTTCCATGAGGAGAGTAGACCATTGACTTTTCTAATAGTAATACTATTTTAGAAATGTGACACAATTACTCATAAATTCTTTTTATTTTACTTTTAATTTTTAAAATTTTAAAACTAAACTATCATGTTTATAATCTTTAAACACTAATTTTATAAATTTTTTTATTCTCATTTTAACAAAAATTTAACGAATTTTGTGAATTTAGAAATTAAAATTTTTAAACTTCTAAATTTAAAGACTGAACATTTTATAGTATAAGATCCAATGATTAAAAATTTTAAACTTAATAAAATAAGATGTTAAACATATATTTTAACCTCAACTCAACTAAGTATTTATTGGTTTTCTTTTCTTTTCTTTTCCTTTTTTCTTGTGAATTGTAAAACAGCAATCCTAGCCAAAGTAAGCACGGTTTTTAAAATTTTTTAAACCGAATTGTATTACTACGTTTAACAAAAGTCAACTTAAAGTAAACCAAATCAAATCAGTTTAATCCGGCTTGGTTTAATCATTATATATGGTTTCCAGAAAGGAGTTGAAGGGCATTGATTGAAATGATAAGACTAATGATTTTGAGAAAGAGATAACTCAACTCTTGTCATCAACAGTAATCATGTAATTACAAACGATGTTTGTCGGCAAAAAAAAAAAAAAAAAAAACTTGTACATGACATCATACAATTATTATTAATTATTAAATATTAATTATAACTTATTAATTTTATAATTTTATCAAACATTAATTATTATGTATCAATTTCACAATCTAAAACACTCCCTATAGCATCAATTCAAAAAAATCTAAACACCTAACAAAAATTTTGTTTTTAATAATAGTTGTTAACAAATCTTTTTTTAATAAATTTAATATTAATTTTTTAATACAAATTCTTGATATTTAAAGTTATATTAAATTTCACTAATATAAAACCAAATTACATAAAATTTATAAAGAAAAAACTCTTTCAAACTTTATTTTTCTATTAATAAAATTTAAATATGACATTTTATTTTAAAAAATCAAATTTATCCCACTTGACCCAATACCTCGATGATAGACTTAATATTAATGATTTTACAGTATTTGAACTTTTGAATTCAGTTCGATACTTTCGAAGAGTGAACCAACAAACCGAACCCATCACTCATTAGACCCAAACATAACCGCAAATTAATTTCGTGGTTTCTTCCAATTTTTTTTTCGCAAAACAGTACTTTTAAGTCTAGTCCTATGGCACACCAGAAATAAAGAGGGGCAGAATTTGGTAGATTTACCTGTGCAAAACTCTGATTCACATTTTCTACTGCAATCTTTACTCTGAAAACAACAAGAAAAGCACAAATTTCAACCAAACAAAAAAATAAAATAAAATTATCCCACTTTAGAAAACTTCATTCTCGATCCCTCAACAAGAAGTTATCGTAACGTATGTAAAAAAATGGTATAGAAACTTCAACTAACCACAGTGATTGGAGAATCTGCTTTCTGGGGGCCGACGTTGAGGGCATGGACGGCAATGGAAGAGAAGCTCAAGGCGAGGAAAACGACTAAAATCAATGACTGATGATAGGTGATCATTGTTTGGGAAAGAAAAATGGAGAGAAAAATTTTTAGCACTGAATTTTTCCGAAGCTTGGTTTTGCTATAAAGGCTCTGATTGTTTTATAGGGAAAAGATGCAGTGAGTGTTGGGAGAAAAAGGCACGGCGGAGGCAAATGGGTCTCTGTCGTGGAGTGACTCGTGATCTGTTTTTGTTGCGGTGCGATTTAGAAATGTAAAGAAAATGGCGACGGTTGTCGGGTCTCTCTCGGAGGAAATGGGCCCATCAACAAACTCATTAATTCGGGGAAGAGTACGAGCTTTAATATTTAGGAGATATTTTTGGGGGAAAAATAAAACACAAAATAAGAGGGTGGTTGGATCTTTTTCCATCAAATAATGATGTTTGTTGGAAGACTGAAATCTCTGCCTCTATTCACGTTACATGTATGTCCTTAAATTCGAACGTAATATTGTTTGGTTAAGCAAGAATGTTAGAATAATATAATTATAAAAAAAAAAATATTATGTAATTTATATTATAATAATTAAGTAGTAAAATTTATATTATTAAATAAAAAATAAACTCTTCAGTATTAGTTAGGGTAATTTTTTACTTAATAATTTTTATTTTAGAGTTTAAGATTTTTACTTGTTCTTTAACTTAATAAAAATTTGAAAATTAAAATGAAACTATTTTACTTATGTAAAACTAGAGATTTTATATATATATATATAATTTAAACTTAATATTTTATTTTTAAAAAAATTAAAATTTTCCTACTCAAACTACCACATGTTGGTATTAATTTGCTGTCTTAGTTTGGATGGGATGAGAACAATAGCCAGCTGTGTCTAGAGATCACGTGAGACTGGATGCAAGGAGCAAGGCATGGTTCTGGCTGGGGAAGTGGGATTCTCATCCGGCTGATCTGGTTTTTACCCAATTGAATGCGCCTCCCTACTTGCTGTGCTTCTAGTTCTAGTTTTAAGATTTCTAGTTAGCTGACGTCCAACTCCGTCCTCCGACTTGTCACTTGAGTACAATTGAGTCCTAGTTGTTTTATTCACTAAAGCCAGCCTAGCAAAGGTTAGACTTGAGTTAGATTCCAAAATTTTAATTTTGGTCCCAGGTCGACTCAGATTTGGAAGTTGCTTTCAACCAGCGAACCGAGAACTGTCAAGACCCTGTAACCTTATGCTTATTGCCCTAAAGATTTGATTGTTAGAAGAATTAAATTGAATGTTCAAGAGGAACAACCCACTCCAACCTAGCAACATAAACCTTGAGTAAGGGCTATTCACCTCTGATAAGTAACATGTTAAAACCCCACGAAACTCAGTTTCTCTTCCTCAGATTAATATAGGTAAATAATTTTAAATTATTCAAAAAAAAAAAAATTGAATGTTCAAGAAGAAATCCAAGAACCAGCGGTGAAAATTTCTATTCCTTTCACTACTAACTGCTAACTTCTGTCTATGTACAAATTATGGGGAAAAAACAATAGAACTGTAGTCTTTGTTTTCCCATCTCAGTGAAAGTACTGTGATGAAAAGCAAATGATTGATCAAGGAGACATTGCCACGCAGAGATGCAGTTTATAGATGCATGCATGATGTGAACATATTTACTCAACCCAATTAATATCCAAATATTTTAGTTTTGTAAGCCATTTTTGTGTGTCTTGAGAAACATACGGCTTGGATGGAGCCTTTTCTTCAGTAGATGCAACCTTGTCGTTTTTCTCTTGCTTAGCAGTAGTCTGCTGCTTCTTGGGATGCCTCACCTCAAGGCACAAAAGGCTAGAAACTTCATGAAGCCCGCCCCATTTCTCTAATGCTCTTGCAATGTCATAACGCCCTGTGACCATGTTTAACAGAACAAATTATTGTACACAATCAACCACATTTATTTTGAGCAACACAGATCTGCATGGTTTGTTAGTTTTCCTAGAGTTTAATCTATAAATTAAACTAACAAATAGGCATGCCATAACCTTTTTTATCAGAGTTGTAATCTAATTTTAATTATCATGTAGTGATGATCCAGGTTTTTGTGTTTAATGACCAGACTTTCATTTGAGGAAGGAACATAACTAGGACAAATGGACCATAAATGAAAGCAACAGAAAGCAGTAACACCATAAATGGACTACCTGCCCGTTCAAATGATTTTCTGCTCGGCATAAATGATGGGTCCATTCCCCAGCTCCTTTGGAACCTGCTAATCTGAAGGGAAAAAAAGGATTGATTAGAAAATTGTCATACTTAACTCTAACATATCTTGGTCCCAAAATAACTTTCTATAATGGAATATATTAATGTTGGCTAAACAATGGTTTTTCTACCAAAAGGATACTTACATTTCTTTATCTCATTGAGTGTTTGCTTTCACTATATATCAAATAGGGGAGAGAAAAAAGAACTAAGATGATCCATCACTTAAACTGCTAACTAATGCAATTTACCTCTTCTTGTAGATTCTCAAGGTTGTCCCAGTAGCCCTTTGGTTTCCGTTGCTTGTATGCTAGAGAGAGGTTCATCATAGATGCAATTCTTCTAAATCCACCCATGCGTGTGATGGCCTTCTCAATATCCACCCTACCATGCAAACGAAGTTGTTTCCTCATGGGCATAAATCCTTCTTGTCCATATTCAGAAATAAATTTCAAAAGCTCAGCTTTTAGAACTTCCATGTCCCTTTGCAGGCCAGGAACTCTTGGTCTTTGTCTAGATGAATTGGAGTTAGTGGAATCTGTAGCAAGCTTGGTTGCATTACTGTAAGAAATGTCACCGTCACTGTTACTGCCGGAAGAAGCAGCTTGCTCTGAATATTGTCTGTGTTCATATGTTTCCAAGGAAGATTTTGTTTGTTTCTTCTCTACATAGTCTCGAATGGCACACAAGTTTGAGGGGAGATCTTCATATATAACCTACAAGGTCAGAAAAGTCAATTTTATCAAGATATATCACAGCAAGTCTGCAATTCTTTTACAACAATAAACTTAATAACCACAAAAGAATTTCTGAAGGAATATTTTGGTTACTGAAAACTGTAAAATTTGTTGATAACTCCTAATTCCAACAGGTAAATGTATCATCTCTCTTCACACCGTCCAAACTTCATATATATAACCCACAAGATTAACATCCCTCTCACCTTCACTGCACTGGGAAGCCCCAGAAAGTAACACCATGTGTGTGTTTTGAGTATGTTGCTTGCAAGCTATACAAAAGAGGATACTCCTCTCCTTTCCACCCTTTATATTGTCATGTCATTTCTGAGTCAAAATGACATGGTTCACTTATGCCCATAGCAATTAGAAATCAAGAAAAGCATTTAATAAAGAAGGCCTTTAAATTTATATGGTATCAATAATATATTCATATCTAACATATTCTCCTTAAATTTGTATATCAATTAGGTAGAATATTATACTTTCCATTGCTGATAAAAAGGAGAAGAAATAAAATAACAAACTGAATTCCTAGTTGGGTATTACATACCTCTTCCATTATAGCTTCAGAAAGAAGTGTGTCCTTGTGCATTTTTGACTCAACAGTATACTTCAATAATGTGTGATTACTTCCTAGTTGCTCCAGAAGCCATTTTCCTTGAAAGGAATCAAAATCACCTTCAATCTGCTGAAAACTGATCTCTTGTTCAAGATGTTCATGCAGATCTAAAACAACTCGTGCATGAAGTACCATATACAACAGGCCCTTGCATCCTTCCTGAGAAGAGTTCTTGTGAGTAATAGAAGATCATAAATTTATTACAAAAAGAATTTTTGGGGGCAGCTCATGTTTTATTTCTTGACTTGTATATAATGCTTTCAGTTCTTCATGATAGCTTAGGCAACAGTTTAATTGTAATTGTAGTCCATACCATGCCTCTAAAGAGAGTCTCAAATTCAGATTATGTAAACAAAGGAAAAGTTTGAAGTTCAAACTTGATGATTCTTAACCTCTACAAAGGAAGATCCCCATAATTTTTTCATGTTTCCTTTAGGATCAAGAAAGGAGCAACAGACATGACTAAAACATGAACACTCATAATTCCATGTTTCCTTTAGGATCATAATTGGAAATTTACAGCGAGGATTCTTAGCTTTGTTTTCATTATAAAGGATGTAGCACAATAACTCTATTTTATGTGAGTCTGGCTTCATGCTGATAATAGCCTTAAAGGAGGTTGTTTACGTTTCCAAACTAATACTTTTGTAGGAAAATGCACCAAAAAGAGACAGTCTCACTACTTGAAAGATCTTGTTCATACCTGAAGAATACGGACATTGCCGTTTTCTCTTGATAAAACCTTACTAATAGCTAAATTTGGAACAATTCTGCAAAAACAAGTCGTTTTTAGAAACAAAATCACGAGTAAGAAAGTTTTATTAGAGAGCCACAGTAACCTGAATTGCAGGAATATTTACATGCATGACTTTAGATTTTTAGAGGTACAAATAGTATGCATTATCCAATTATTTATTTACTAATAAGAATTAATCTACACATCAGAATAATACACATCTTTTAGGCAAAAAGAATAATACTATTAATATCAGGTAACAAACATCATGGCCAAACAAAAAATGCCATCCCACATAGATGTCATCGTGAATGCTATAAACCCTGACACAAGAATACAAGATATGCTCAACTGTTTGTGAAAGCCACCTAGTTTGTCACACTGGCTGAGAGCAAGATAAACTATTTCTCTCCCTACAAGCAAGGATGAGATTGGTGCAAGAATTTGGAGGATTTTTCACCCGTCTCTCTTAGGTAAAGTTCATTGCAAGATAATTCATATATCTTATATGGTTAATATTGAATATTGTTTGAACATTAGAAATCCTAATTTGATTGGGAAGTATAAACAGAAAATATAAGCAGCCAAAACAGATTGTAGAGTTGCGACTGTAGTTCTTAGGAATAGAATAATGCTACTTGATAAGAACAGTATTGTTATTTAGTTTATAAGTTAAATAATCAAGATTTAGTACTTACTCTGGAAGACTCTCATAAGCAGTTAAAACATTCCAAACTTCACGAACAGAAGCTTTCACAGTTATGCTAGCAACAACACAGCGATGAACACCTCCGTTTTCCTGCAGCACAACACAAATTTATCAATGGTAGCTAAAACTAGAGTAACCTTCTATCTGACAGCAAGACCCACAAGAACTGTCTAGAATCAACTAGTTACCAGTAGGCCATCAAATCTACGAAGATGAACTTCATCTACCATGCATGGCTTATCAAGTCGACAAGCTTTTCCAAATACACCCCAGCTGTTGCTCAACTCACTTGGAGATCTAAGGATGGGGCTAAAATTAGAGCTGGTATAATTTTCTTTCAAATCTGCTGATGATGTTTTGTCCTTATGGAAATCTGACTTCAAGTCTACACCAGGTGCAGCAAGAACAGGCAAAGATGTTCTAACCAATGACTCTTCTACTGCAAGCATCTTCCTATTTCCATTAAAATTTCTCTCAGCTTGACAAGCCAAAGCTTGAAGATTCACAGGAAGGTCTGATCTGATAATCCTCTCCAGGAAAATAGCAGGGAAGTTAAATCTTGGTATAACATTAACTTCATATGAGAGAACAGTTGTAGTAGACCTGCAAGAAAGAGGTAAATATTGAAAGGACTCACTCAACATAATAAGATCTTCAATGTCAAGCTTTGTCTTGTTAGAACTAGAGTACTATGGTTTTACCTAATTCCTGACTTCACAGACCATTTCCCCTCAAACTTCTTGAAGTCTCCATCAACCATAGAAAAATGGAGCTCACGATCAGTGGACTGAATCATGAATAATTACCAAAGATTAACAGAATATGAGGAAAGACATAAAACATGAGATTTAGAATCTTGATTCTTGAACAGTAATTATACAAGCTAAAATTCAAAACACATACAACTAGACAATCAAAAGCTGGAGCCACCATTGATCCAAGTTAACCACCCTTCCACTTTCTCACCCACAAAGCACCCTAGTCATCTCTTTGACCCTTTCATCTTGCAGGTTCATCCAATTCTTGTTCCTTCTTCAAGTACTTTTACAGATTAAATATCATAACTTTGTGTTTATAAATACATGAAAAGGGATGTACTTCAGTTAGTAACTATAGGAAATTTACACAAACTAGAAGCGATCGAATCAATTACAGCTAAATATCCTATTTTCTCTTCCAGATAGTGCCACTTGCAAAACCCAAACAGTGGTGAGTTAATTCAGCCCTGTATGACCAGAAGGTTAACTTGGTATTAAATTACTTTCCCAATTTAATAAAAGAAAACACTTCCCCTATCATTTTAACTATGAACCAAACAAATGAACTAAAGTTGGTCAACTAGCTTAGTAATGACTCATCTGAGTCATAACGATGATCCTTTCTTTCTTACATTACAAAGAAGATTCCCATTATTTCAAAAATTTAACCAATACACCCTCCCCCCTCTTTTACTTTGATTTATCCCATCTTCAGTAAGTGGCATGCAAACACAGCAGGGCATGCAGTAATAAAAGGTTTAAGGTGATTACTGAATTGGGCAGTTCTTGGAGATCTAGAACAACACGAGCTTCAATCTGCCAATAAAGTGCCCTTTGCACACCTCTCTGCTCCAACCATATTCTCCCAGGATGCGGGCAAGGAATTCTTCCACTAATAATCAAACAATGTGAATTCTAGTTAAATAACAGCCGAGGCAGAGAAGTATAGAGAACAACACTGAGTAGAAGGACAAAAAATATGGAAAGGGAAGCTGCTGCTGAACAGATAGGAAAATCAAGTTATAAAAGTAAAGCAAAATCAATTCATGAAAGCCAAACGCATCCTCAAGCAAAAATAGAAGGCGAAAAAAAATGATAATAAAGAAATAAACAAGCACCACTACTTACCTGCAAACAAGATTGGGGATGAAATCGGCGAGATGCTCGTAATCGGTGAGAGCTTTCCAGACGGAATCGACGTCGGCATTAACCAATATTTCGGCCTTAATTCGTCTTTCCCTCCAAGAAATCACTTCCACCAGACAATTCACCCTTTTCTTCCCCTTCTCATCGTATTGTTCTTCGAAATCATTTTCTCGTTCGAACCTTTTCTTCTTCGAGCAGCAGCATCTCAGCTTATACTTGGCATTGTTAACCGAAGAAAGGAAGATGCAGTGGTTAAGCAGAAGAGAAGGGTTGACATGGAAACACCGGCGAAATGTAGGGTTAGCTTGGGGCGTAACGCGGCGGGAGAGAGCTGGTGCATGACTGAGCCGTGAATATCTGGAGTTGATCATGGAGGCAAGACGAGAGCTGGGGACGGGCGGTGAGCGATTGACGACGGAATCGAGCAGAGTTTAAACGACGGTTGGCGACCAGGAGTTCCGTTTCGGCTTTTTGTCGTTTACTGAGAGAAATGAGTGGTTTAACGGCCTCCGGGTCCGGGTGGTTCAAGGGTAATTTTGTCTTCACCTGGAAAATGTGTGGCCGCGGCGCCAAGGCAATATATAGGCAAAATACCCAAATCCACCCTCAAAATATAGTGGCAGGGACGGATTCACCCTCGAACAAAAAACGGAGACAAATCCACCCATAAAGTTTTTGACTTGGACAAATCACCCCAAATTTAACGTGTGACGTCATTTGACATCAGTAATTCGTTGATTCGTTAACGGATTGCTGACGTCAGATGACGTCA